CCGCCCCCTCTCCGAGGTCAGCGCCGCGTCCAGGGTGATGCAGAGCAGGTGGGGGCAGTGACCCAGAAGCCGGCTGGCGGTCATTGCAGCAGTCCTGCCGGGCTGAGGGAGGCCCCTGAACACCAGCTGGCAGCTCGTTTTACTGAGAGATGAGAGGCCCCTCCCTGGCGTGAATGGGGGTCTTCCAGATGCCCCCAAACCAGGGCTTGTATTCAGTCTGTAGGCCGTGACATGGCCAGTCTCCTTCCTCCCATCACCTGTCAGTCCTTGTGATGTGCCGGCTGTGGAGGTTTGCCCCCCCCCCACCCCTACCTCTAACCCCACCTGGGGAGTCAGGGCTGGCGCTGGGGCAGCTGTTGACGGGACCCCTTTACCTGCCCGGGGCAACATGAGTGCATAATGTAGCCCGTCCCACATGAAGCCAGGTGTATCCAGAGGTGCTTGCCTGGCGAGGGTGCCTCTCCCCGTCGTGGGAGAGCAGTCATTTCCTTCCGGGGGCTGGTGGCACTAAGAGCCAGTGAACGCTTCATCGATACCCTTGCAGATCAAAGTGAAAAGTTGGGGACCTTCACTGGCCCCTCGATAAGCTTCTGTGAGATGTTTTGATGTTCGGAGTATGTGGTCAAAGGTCTGGGCTATGCCCACGGTGAGCCTCAGTGGTCTCCTCTGTGAGACGGGGTGGCTGGGGCACCCACGGGCGTGAACAGGGTGTCTGTGCAACGTCCAGCGCAGGCCCCAGTCACCGGTCAGCAGTAGTAAATGCCTGCTGTCATGGCCACCCGAGCCCGCCATGCGCCCCAGGATAACGGGGGAGAATGCTTGCTGCCTTCTGTGTGTTTGTAGGACAAGTTATCAGACAGACATTTCAGAGGCTGAGCTAATGCATGCAAATGTCCCATTGTTCTCAAAATCACATCTTATTCAAGGATGGAATGAGGAGGAAGTGCGAGATTTCAAACAGGAAGATGGTGTCTCTGTGTGACCATGTCCGCTCTGCGGAGGACAGCTTCGTGTGCCCGCCGGCATGTCCCATTCTCAGAATCGCTCGCTGCAGGTCACGTCCAAGTGGGCAGTATGCACACTGGGCCTGCATGTTTGATTCCTGGGGCACCCTAACAAAGCACCCCAAAACAATGGCTGAAACAACAGACATTCACTCTCCCTGGTTCTGCAGCCAGAAGCCTGAGACGACGTCCCAGGGGCACGCTCACTCCAGAGGCTCCGGGGGAGGGCCCTTCCAGCTTCTGGTGGCCCCAGAGTTCCCTGGCTTGTGGCCACATTGCTCCAGTCTCTGCCTTTATGGTCACATGGCCTTCTCCTCTGAGTTTGTATCCAAAATTCCCTCTCCTTATAGGGACACCAGTCACTGGGTTAGGACCCTCCCCAATTCAGGATGCCTCACAGTAACTAGTCACACCCACAGAGACCCTATTCCCAACTAAGGTGGCACTCGCATGTTGGGGATCAGGGCGGTTCAGCCCACACAGTCTGCAGAGCTGGCTGCCCTGTCTGTCAGGGGCCCTGGCGCACAGTCCCCAAGGGCAGAGGCAGGGCAGGCACGATGACGTTGGCACCCCTTCCCCCGTCTCACGGTCTGCTCGTGCAGTCAGGAGTGTGGGCGGTGGGACAGAGTCCACACGCAGGTCCCATCCGACTCTGGCCCTGCAAGGGTGGCGGGGCCCTCGTTAGCCTTCACAGGGCCCTCCTGCCTCCGTTTGCCTCGTTTCCAGGGGGATGCAGCAGCCCTGCCCCTTTAGAAGGAATTCCTTGCGAAACAAGACAGGAGCCAACGCTGTGGGTACGAGAAAAGGGGGAAAGGTGAGAGTCCCAGGACCGGCAGGGAAGTGAGGTGTGTGCCTTTAATGAAAAGGGAAGTCAGATCCGGGGGCTTTTAATCGGCGGCGCCGTTACAGGTCTGTTCCGCTCAGAGGACTGTCATGGGGACGATCAGGGACCCTCGCAGACCCGTGGACCCTTAATCCCACAGCCTCTTACAGGTGCCACAGCCGTGGGGCCAGAAGGGCACCAGGGCGCAGCCCAGAAGCTCCGGCCAGCACAACTACCAGTCAGATATAAAAGTCAAACAGGAAAGCCATTTCCAGACATCTTAGGGCTCAGAAAGTTTACTTTGCACACGGCCCTTCTGAAATGTCCCTGAGAACGGGCTTCAGCCAATGGAAAAGGAAGTTGGGGACTTACAATGACGTGGGATTCACAGAACATGGAACCAACCCAGGGTCTGCGTCAGGGGAAATCCAGGATGGCGACTAGGAAAATGACACGTGAGGAGTGAGGACATGGGTGGGCTCAGGGAGGTGCAGACCGCCCACCCGAGGACCCCGAGGACCCCAAGAGTGGGCGCCTCCTTAGAGTTTGCACCCAGCTCCACTCTAGTGCCAGCCCTGCTGTGCCATTGTCCCTGAGAGGAAGCCGGGCCCTGCTCCACACACCCTGTGATGAGGAAGCCCCGAGCTCACGGAGGCAGCGGAAGGCGGTATAGCTGGTCCCCGCTGCCACAGTGCTGGCGAACACATGCTGGCCCTGGCGCCTGCAAACCATGTGACTGAGAGCCTGGCAGCTGACCTTTGCGTGCCTCAGCTGCCTCATCTGCAAAGTGGGTCCATTGTAGCACCTGCCTGCAGTGGTATCAGGGGGTTCCTGTGGCTAAAGGCACATGCTGCCTAAACACAGCTGTCCCCGTGTGTCCACCCTGGAAAGCTACACAGAAAATCAAAGAGCCAAACCTTAGGCAAACCCAAATATGCCTACTTTGGGGAATACAGTGTCAGGAAAAGCAAGCAATGTGGCCTTGACATTTGAAAATTCTTCACTACGTGGCAGGGCTTTAGTTGGTGAGAGAAACCCGCCATGGTCTCTGAGGTCCAGTGACGCTGGCTCCACAGCGCGTCATAGTTATGTGATCACCACGTGGCCAGTGTGGCCTCAGGTCTCGTGTTAGGATACTATAGCCAAGGCTTGTGGAAGGGTGAGTCGCAGTCAGAGCAAAATGGCCTTGGACGATGTGATGGCATAGCTAGGCCGTAGATGCAGAGGGATTGCTAATGTGTTTCTTTTGTTATTTTTGCAATTCAAAATTTTATGTTTTTATTGTTACTTTCATTGTGGTGAGAACACTTAGCATGAGATGTACCTTCCTAACAAATTTTAAGGGCCCAATATGCATTTTTTTTAAAGATTTTTATTGGGGAATTGGGGGGATGGGAACAGTGCTGGGGAATTGGGGGAAGGGGAACAGACAAGTTGCTGTCGTTTTGTTCTTCAGTCTAGTTGTGGAGGACGTTGCTTCACTGGTCCAAGTTGGCACCATCATTGTGCTCTTCCCTGGTGAGGCAGATCAGTCGCCGGCTTCTGGACGGCTGCTCACAGTGGCTGCTGGCCGCTCACGCTGGCTGCTGGCTACACACGGTAGCCCATGGCAACCCACCTGCCGTCGCCGGGCAACTCACGGCAGCCCAGATCCAGGTTGAGCTGTTGTTCAGCATCTTAGCTGTGGAGGGCGGTGTCACTGGCCCTCATATGTGGGATCCGAACCAGGGCCCTCTGGCATCCCAAGCCAGCTCTTAACCAACACGCCACTTGGCTGGCCCCCAGTATGCATTGTTAATAAAGCCCAGTGTAGCCGAGCTCTAAGCTTATTCAGATAAGTTTAGGGATTTATGTGGAACTGAAATAATATATATAAATGAAACATTATTCCCGCTGAACAGTGACAGTAACTCCCGGGAATCGCTCATTTCTCCTCTCACCTGGTAGGGAGTCATTAGACACCCGGCTAAAGTCGATACTTCCAGAAATAGAGCTGCAAGTATGCCTCTTAAGGTCACAAAGGCAACCACCAGAATAACTAAAAATAATAACAGAGCTAAGAAAAATCTGGGAGGCGAGAGCGGGGGCCAAAGTGTAGGCGGTGGTGACAATGGACTGAAGCCCAGGGAAATTGTCTCCGGCTGACATAAAATTCCTGTGCAAACGTGCAGAAAAGGGTCTAAGAGTCGTCCATCCCAGACAGCAAGGAGGGTGTCCTTGCCTGGTGTGCACTGCCCTGGTCCCCGGTTCCCTCTGGGAACAATGTCACCGAGTGGTGTTCCTCTCCAGACACAAGTGACCACCTAGAACATTCCAGAACACCCCCAGCCTGGCCCTCTCAGGTCCCCCCCACACAGTCCAGAAGTCACCCCAGAAGTCTGAGGGCTCGTTTCCAGCCAACGTCACCCACGCTGGAGGTCACCTGCTGCCCCGAGCCCCAGGTTAGCTTTGTCCGCTGTCGAGCCTTGTAGACAGGACCACATAGGATGAGGCATCTTGTTCAACAAGCCTTTCCTGAGACCCGCGCAGGTTGTTGGGGACACCTACGGGTCTCTCCTCTTACCCCAAAGCCATGTATGTGCCTTTGTGCTCAGGTGCAATTAGTTGGAATGATAATTACTGACAACATTGAGGGCAGTGAGTCCTCCGCTCACATTTTTTGTTGATTTTTATTTAGTTTATATTAAAAAAAAAATAACAGACCTTATTTTTTAGAGCAGTTCTAGGCTCATAGAAAGACTAAGTGGAGATTACAAAGAGGTCCCTCCCACACATGCGGTGTCCTGGGTTATTAATAACAGGTGGATCTATAGCATCGACACCTGAAGCCCGCAGCCGACACAGGGGTCGCGCTTGGTGCTGCATGTCCTGTGGGTTAGACAAATGTGTAATGACGCGTATCTGTCACTATGGTGCCACACAGAGTCGTTCCTCTGCCCTAAACGTCCTCTGTGCTCCACCTGTCACCCCTCCCCTCCAAGCACAGATCTTTTTACCGGCTCTGTGGTTCTGCCTGTCCTGCCACATCCTGCAGCTGGAACCTGCCAAGTGTGAGGAACTTGCTGAGTGGGCCTGAGAGAGAGGGCTGTGCGGGCGAGGCCGGGAGGGGACGTGGGGAAGGACGGCTACATCCTGGGACCTGGCTGACCTCCCTTTTTCCTCCTCCCCGCCAGGCCTCGCCAAGCCCATGGGTCTGGTGGAGGGGCCGGGGGGCCTGGGCCAGGGTGGCATGGCAGCCACGCTGCGGGACGACAGCCAGGAGGCGGAGGGCAAGTATGAAGAATACGGCTACAACGCACAGCTCAGCAACCGCATCTCGCTGGACAGGACCATCCCCGACTACAGGCCCAAAAAGTGAGTAGCGACCCCTCCCGGAGGGTCCTGCAGCAGCCCCCGAGCCAGCCGTGACACAGGCATTCACAGAGGGGGTGGCACGGGTGCCCTGGGTGTGGGGAGCCCTCCCGGGTTCCTCTGCTCCCGGCCAGCCATGGGCGTCCTCAGGGCACGGAGGGGACTTGGTCCCTGTTCACAGAGATGTTTGTGGGTCTGAGAAAGCGGGCTGCACTGCTGCTGACGTTCAGGGTGCCGCCACGAACGCAAACAACACAAGTGACACAAATGACACTCGCTTGAAACATCAGGCTCTGCTGAGTGGGTTTGTCCTATTTGCTTCTGGTCCAGTTACTACAGGGGCAGGTGGAGACTTGGAAAAAGGCATTTGCTATTTTGTCAGGGCCGGCAAACCCCTGTCCCACCCGCCGTCCCCGAAGCCACAGGAGTTGACCAATCAGAAACTCAGATCCCTCGGTGGCCTTTCCCTGTGGTCACTCAGGACTGCGTCTTTGTTCCCAATCATTGCATACTGTTTGAAAGCTCACGAGGTACCTTGGTGGGAATGCGACTTGAACAAAATGCCGTATTAAGTGGACGTCATGGCTTTAATGAGGCTCAGCAGGCTGCTTATGGTGGGGCCTGTGTGTGGGAACCTTGCTGAGAAGGCACCTCCAGCCCCCTCTTCCTGGCTCCAGCTGGGTTTGGGCCTGGACTGGGCAGCCACGTGGCCAAGGTTGCTGCACTGAGTCGGTGACAGGTGGTAAGTGCTGGGCCTGGGGAGCAGGGACCTGCACTGTTGGCGTCCCAGCGGGGGAGGCTCATTCATGCTCCCTGTACAACTGGGGGTGCCTATTGTTTGCCTCCCTGAAATCTGCTTTTCCCCATTTGGGGCAGTAGCTCCTGTCTCCCTGGGAAGCCAAGGAAACTGCCCATCCCAGCTGCAGGGCAGATCATGTGACCCAGGGCTAAGCCACTCTGAGCTTGTGGTCCACCAGCCACAGTGATTGGCTCAGGGCTGTCACATGGTCTAGGCCAGCCCAATCAGACTGGATCTTGGAATTGCCTGCAGCCAGTGTGTGTGTGTGTGTGTGTGTGTGTGTGTGTGTGTGTGTGTGTGTAAATTTACCTTTTCCCCCAAAATCAAACTGCCAGGATGGGAACCTGGGGAGCTGCACCATCTTATCATCAGGAGAGGATAGCTTGGTGCTCCAGAGCCCTCTGTGGAACCCAAGGAAAAGCCCAGTTGGTATGGCAGCCCTGGGAGGTGGGCAGGAACTGGCTCCAGTGCCACAAGACAAGCTCCGGGGTCCCGCTGCTCCTGAAGCTGGTCTCGTGGATGACAAGTGAAAAGGCTCTCAAGCATACGTGCACACACACGTGTGTTTTTAAAAGTTTTTGTTGAAGCAAATTTACATTGGACTTGTGCTTCTTAAAGCCACAGGGCTCCACCTGGTTTGTCCAGCGTGTCACTGCCCGCTCTCACGCCCTCAGGAGTGCCTTCCTTCCATGTCGGGCTGGGCCTGGCGCTCGGTGAGCAGCGGGGGCGCCTCTGGCTTTCCCTGTGAGCTTCCAGACACCCCCTCTTTCCCTCACGTGCCAGGTGGCTCCCCCTTTAAGGAGCCTCGGTCTCCCAAAATGAAAACTGACAGAAGTGATCAACCCCAGTTGTCTTCTCACATCACAGAAGAAGACATCAGAGCGAACTTTGAAAGAGCTGACATTTGCAATGCGCCTTAATTGGTAGAGACCTGATTTACGGCAACTCTGATGTGAAGGGGCACCGCTCTCTGCCGCCTTGAATTAGAGAAGGTGGATTTTATTTATTTACATGTTTGTCTCTAGCCCATGTCTCTTCAAAAAGGAAACGAGGAAGCTCTGATGTGCACAGAACGACCACCAACACACACACACACACATGCACGCATGCACATAAACGCACGCACATACATGCACACATGTACACACACATGCACACAGATGCATGCACATGCACACGTGCACGATGTGGTAGATAAAATAGAAATGGACAGAGGCCTTCCCAAGCCCCTTGCCATCCACACCGGGCTCTCCCTCCTGTGGGCTCCAGGACTTAGCACCCTCTCTCTCCCAATAGCTGTGCCACCTGCTGTGAGGGAGACAACCTTGTTTTCTCGGGGTGTCCACATGGACAGTCCCTTACAGCTCAAAGATATGGTGGCTGCAGCCCCATCCGAGAGCCCACAGGACAGCCTCTGACCCAGAGCCACCAGCCAGGCCTCCCAGGAGCCACGACAGGAAAGCCAGCGGTGGCTGCCCTGTCAAGTGTTAAGCCACTAAGCTGGAGTCTAGTTACGCAGCTGTCAGCGACTGGAACCCAGGGAAGGACCGCCTAAGATGTGGCATTGCAGATGTCGACACGTGGCGTCCTCTATCCCGCAAACGGCAGCAGCTCCATGCTGTCACGTCGGTGGCCATGGCTGGCACTTAGTAGGCCCTCATCAAATGTTTATGGATGGCTAAGTGAATAAATGCACAAATGCAAGCTCAGTCTCTGCCCATCTGAAACGTTCAGGTTTTGATTCCCTAAATGGCCTAATCCCTACGACATCCATCCACCCAATCAGAAACTGCCCTACTGATGGGCTGACAGGTGCAGTCATCAGAAACCCACACGGGACGTCAGAGCACGTGTGTGCATGCCTGCGCCTGTGTGTGTGCGCGCGTGTACATGTGTTTCTGCCCCAACGGCAATTCCACCCGCGGCTCTAGTGAGAACTTTCTCCCATTAATATGATATTGATTTCCTGTTTTTTGGAGGTAGACAGCCTTTCTAATTAAGCAGCGGCTTTAATTATGCCACAAAGCACTTAACATAGATCTTGATTATTAAGCCTGGCCCCTGGGATCGGGAAAGGAAGATTGGCAAACGCAAGTCACGTGGGATCATAGAAGGGCGTGGGCTTCCCCGAGACCCCATCCTGCATCCCAGGGCAGTGCTGCCCCCACGTCACGGATCACACAGCCTTTGTGCACATTGATTGTCTAAGCTGCCAACAGCCTGGCTGCCAACTCTAACAAGTGCTGACTTGGCGGACGGGGGCTGTGAGGGTCGTGCTCTGATGCCTCTTGTGTGTTGGGCCTGCGTGTGGAGGCAGGCGTCTCAGATGGAGGTGGGAGAACTTGGTGTCATCATGGAAACGAGCCCTGTTGTGTGGCTTGTTCCTCACCCAGGGTGAACTACAGTCAGCAAAGCCATGTCCTGCGCAGGCAGCCCTCCCCAGGAGCCCTCAGCCTGTGCCCGGGAGGGAGGTGTCTGCGGGGAGGGCAGGGGACCCTCAGGGGAACGGCAGGATGGTCCCCAAGGGTGGCAGACTCCCACTGGCTCTCTCTTCTCTGGAACCCGGTTCCGGTGGCTCATCCTGCTTTGGGGCCAGAGGCCAGTGGGCACCAGATGGGACGGAGGGACTCAGTCTCAGAAAGACAGTTTCCGAGGAGGCCGCTGTGCCTCCCTGCTCACTAGAATCCTACCTCAGGCCCCTTGGTGGCTCTGGCATCGGTGTGGTCCCTGCTCATTTAGAATTCTCCACTCACCTCGATGTCCCTAGGAGGGCAGGAGTGTGTCACACACAACGGCAGATGCTGCCACCAGGAAGGCGTCCACAAAGATGTCACAGGCAGAAGCCACCCCAGGCGCCCTCCGCAGCTGTCCCCAGAAACATGGATCACAGCCTCATGCAGCAGCTTCCTGGTCTGCGCTCAGCCCCAGACCCGTCTCTTCTGCAGGAGATAGATGTGTGCCCCATTGTCGCGAGGCGAAGCTCACTGCTCCCCTGGGAGGGACACTTCATCCCCTCTCGTCCTGTGTCTATGTCTCCAGTGGCACAAAGGGTGTCCCCATAAATTTCTGTTAGAGTCGCTGCCGTGGCCCCATTTCCTGGGAGGCCAGCCGGACTCTGCCTGTCATACACCCCACCCGGGACCTTGGACGTGGCCCCAAGAGCCTGGTGACAGCTGCCTGTCCTCCGCGGCACTAGAAATCCTCTCAGAAACGCCTCTGTGGTTGAGGGGACCCTGCTCGTGTGACCCCAGGTGGGATGTGAAGTCTGAGCAAGCTTCTCCCTGTGGCCGAACCCAGCCAGCCTCCAGCCAAGCCGGGTTGCTTGAGCGCTAATCCACCGTCTGCTAATCTACCATGTGCCCGGCGCTGTGCGGGGTCACCGTGTGTCCACCAGAGACGGAGTCGGCCAGCCTTGGGAAATGCACCCGTTCCGGTTACAATGCCGCCAGCACATTACCCGTAGTCAGAGTGTTTAGAGCCGTTTCAGTGGGCTCCGAGGTGGGAACTCAGGCGGCAGGCCTGGCCTCTCCCTGAGCAGTGCTCTCTAGACCCAGCTGGGAGGCATGATGGTGGAGTCAGGGGACGCGGACCCAGCTCACATGTCCTAGAGACTGTGCCCTTTCTCAGAGGACGTGGGGCCGGGAAGCCACAGGAAGAAAGGGCCTCCAGGAGGAGGGCTTTTCCAGAGCAAGTGGGGAGTGGGGGGCAGAGGGGCTGCAGCTGGAGAGTGACGTGGGCCCAGGACCCCCTGACCTGCCCCCTTGTGGGGAAGGGTGTGGACACTTGCTGCAGGTTTGAATGTTGAAACGCTAATAACTTTTGTTGAAATGTTTAAAATACATCACCTGTTGGTCTTCCTTCAATTAAAAATGAACCCAGAGCCTCAGTGCGTGGGATTGGCCGGGGTTGTCCACCACCTAAGACCCTGAGGCTCCAGGCCTTCCTGTCCCCACACCTACGTCCCTTCCTTCTGTCCCTGTGTCCGCCCACTACCTGGGCCAGGCCCTCCGTCACTGCATTTACTCTCAAGCAGCGCCCCTGCTAAACTCCAATTCTTTCCAGACGCCATAACTTGGCTAATTTCCTGGCAGAAAAGGTACTGTTTAAGTCCAGAGAAGGACCCTCCGGCTCCACGTAAACTGAATTATTCCAGGGCTGCGGCTTCATGGCTTGTTTCTGTTTTCCTCGGCCACATCAGAGCCCT